TTTGTATACAAGGAGTAAAATCAAGTGTCAACAGGGCTTAGGGTGACCAGAAGGGGTTAATTAGGATACCTGGCTATGTGGATTGCTTCTAACATTCCACTCCCCCTAACTCATTTTTTTCAGATTTTTTTTTCTAGTCTAACTACCTTTTTCTCATCAAGGAAAATATGTCTCATCACAATCAATATTCTTTTCATGATCTATCTATTTCAGGGCTTGTTATTTGAAAATGGCGGGATGGGCTTAAAAAACACACACCTCAGTGTTCTCCCAAAGCCATTTTAGCTGTTAGTTTTACCAGTAAAAATACCCGGTCAACCAGTAAAAATTTTGAGTTTGTAAAATAAAAAAAATACTGTTTAGCCTCGTAGTCTAGACTGACCCTCTTTCAATAAATTAACATCAACATCATTCCAGTCTATGCCTAGACTATGAAAATATTTGTTCTTGTTTCTTCAAGTTAATAAACCTTCACTCAAAAGTGGTAATGCTTCACACTGCATGCATTGCTGAATTTTTATGGATATATTTACAAGTAAAAATGTATAAATTGGGAGAACACTGCACCTAATTTTACTTAGGCGAGTGACTACTTGGGAGGGGAAATTTAGTGGAAAAGTGGAAGAATATAATTACTACTGGAGTCATGAAAGTGGTGTTCAAAGTATTAATTGGGGATTTTACTGGATTTACAGATGTACCATGCCAAATACACAAAAATGTTAATACCTATAAATAAGTTATTAATATCAATGTTAATGTTATCAAAATCAGTATCAATATGTTATCTAATATCAAATGTAGTATACAAAAAAATGATAAAACTTACTTAGCTCCTTGATCCCTTTCCTCCATTCGTAATCTTGAGAAGTACCTTCAAATAAAAAATCAATAACCAACATGTGTTTCATTTTTAAATATTCAGCTATAGACGAATCCAAGAAGAATGGCGCCCTCTTTTATTGACGCCATTACTGGGGAGTCCCTACTCCTAAATGGTAATGCAGTGTGGTGCATTATAAACTGACAGCATTATGCAGCTGCTACTGTCGAAAACCGTATTTCTCAACAACTACTCTACTGCGTTGATAAACACAACACAACATTAGATCTTACAACTTCGGAAATGCCACCCCAGTAATGGCGGCAACAAAAGAGGGCGCCATTCCAAAAAGTTCTCTTGGATTTGTCTATAAACAGAGGCATATTCAATAAGGGGTGTGGTGGGACCAGCTGGCCAAGGTCTCCCATAAGTTTTTGGAAAAAAAAAAAAAAAGTGGGAAAAAAACTATATCCAAATTAAAACCTAAGATTGTCATTTCCAGCAGACCTACCTAAATATTGTCGTTTGTATTTGTATTCATTATAAAAATAAATAATAAAGGAAATTAGCCTAGGCCCTACAGTAGTTGCATTTATAACATACAGTGCAAAAACCCAGCAAAGAATAAATACGGTACTCAATGGAATGAGAAAAATATGAAACTAAAACAAGAATAGCCCTCAATAAGCAGGACCGACCACTTACAATAAACCAGCACCACTGTACCCGTTGACCAGTTCAACTTAGTGCTGGTCCCATAATAATTAGTATTAATTACTGGGCCTGGGTATTCAACACACACTGCTCTGCTGTTACTAAGTGAGAGTCTACGCACTAAATCATTACGCTACGGCTGTCTGTGCGCCTCCTATCTAGGCCTATTATTAGCTGTAGTAGTATGGGCCAAACATAGAGAGACAGTTGATCATTTTTCAACTTTTTGACTTTTGTTATCACTAATCAGAAAATAGGCCCAGGCCAGGCCTACTAGCCTAGGCCTATTTATTACATAAATAGGCCTACAGGAAAGAGATTGTGCCGGCCATCGTCGTAACTAACTAAAATAAACTTACTGAAGCACTGTTGCTACTTCAATAGATAAGCCTAGGCCTAGCTAGGCCAAGAAAGGGAATCTAGGCTAGGCCTGGCCTATCCGAAGATCCGCCTATCCTACTCTGGTCTGGCTAGGCCTAGTCAGCATCTTCTCTCTAGCTGGCTTAGCCTAGGCTACACCCGCCTTGTTTGGTTAGGCTAGGCTGGCCCCTAAAGTACAACAATACAATACAAATGCCTAGGCCTAGCTAATCCTAACAGAGAGAGGTCAAATAAAATATTCTGGTGTAGTGTAGGCTACATCATTTATTTTATAAGTTCATGATGAAACGAATACATAGATGATAATCCAATACCAGAGTAGTATATGACAAGTCTGTTCGATCAGATCTAGCCTTGTAATTCGATATTGTATTAGAAATTTCTCCGAACTAGTTTACGTAGAATTTGAACTTCCGTTTTCAAAATATGATCGTTCTTTTTTTAGCAAGGGAATCAACTTGAACTTTGTGGAGCAGACGAAATTCAATTAATAATTTTATTGTAAGGTAATAATCAGTTCATGAAAATATTACATATAGCAAATATTTGAAAATGTATTCAATTGTAAAATAAATTATTGATAATGAGTAATAAGTGGTATGAATTCATATTTTTTTTAATAAAATAAAAATATGATCAGATGTTTTTATTTCTAAACTCTATTTTCTATCGCAAAATAACTTCCTGGTGGCGCTGTTCGAGGAAAGCCTTTGCAGCAGTATGACGTCATGACCTGGCGCCAAAGCCTTGTAGAAGATGCTAAATATGGGAAATCGTCCGAATTTCGTAAGTAATTTGATAGAAATACGGACTTCACCGTCCATAAAGTATTACATAATGAAAATATAATATATGTAGATTTTTAATGACATATAACATTTAGCAATTTTACGTTCGATTGATGATTTTAATCTATATGAATATATAATGAGATAATTTTGAATCAATCAAAATGGATGGAAATGTCATGTGTAAAAATTAAAACGGTCGCCAATAACATCTGGATATTCCTGGGCCCTAGATACGTTTATCTCATCAAATCATTTTTTGATATTAACTGTAGCCTAGAAACAAACAGATAACTTTCCTAAATCCTCTTGGTCGATTTTAAAACTTGAAGTAGTGGTAATTTCCAAATCTACTCAACCCCAACATAAGCTGTTCATTATGCATGCTAAGAATGCTATTTGCTATGGATGACCCGGGATGAGATGATTGTTCTACTGGCGAATTGTAATGTAGGAATGAGGAAAAACGTTGTCTGGGGTGGCCTAGCTTCTGGCTGGTCATAACACTACTCCCTTTTACTTTATATATATTAGACGTTGTTTTTGTATATATTTTGTGTTAGATAATATTAAATATACGCCTATCCCTTTCTTGGTAAGTTGTAGCTTCTCGAATATTGAATATTTTTAATAATTCATTTTTTAATTTCATGGCCAGATTCATGTTTACAATTTTTGTTTACTCAGTCACAGAGGCGCTATGATTGACTGCACAGTTTTCTTTTTGAAATTTTCAGTGGTAGCTTTTGAGGTACAGTTGGCATACTGTTGTAGTATCATGCATGAGGATGACATATGAGAACGATTCTTATTGTCTTTTCTGGCGGAAAGATATAAAAAATACATGCAACAGTCACAAGCTTAGTTTCTAGCAGAATTAGGGCCAAAGGTGCCAGGATTTTTTTTTTTTTTTGGCTTGAATCTTGATGGAATTTTAAAAATAAATATACTTTTCAAGTTTTCTTTTTCAGATATATTTAATTGAAAAGAAAATAATCAATCTTTACAAAGCCAACTTTTTTTTTTTAAGTATAGTTAGGTTTTGGAAAAAGAAAAAAATCTGTGTTTTGGTTCCTGTGTACATACCATTTTCACTAAATTTGAAATGAAAATTCCCTAGAACCTGGCAACTACCACTGGGGGACATCCATAGTTGGTTGTAGTGAGTTACTGTAGCCTAGGCTAGTCTTTCGAAAACAAAATGCCAAAAAAGAAAGTAGATAGGGATCCATACAACCTACAGTACAGTATTTTTGGTTGTAGAAGTGCCTCTCAAAAGAAGATATGTGAATGGAAAAAGAAATAAATACGCAAACAACAAGGGTCTGGCTTGATGTTCCCCAGTGAAAGGTTGCGAGACGTTGGTGCAGCTTCTTAAAATAGACGAATAAAATGGTGTATAGCAGCATAGTAAATCATAGTAATACAATTGTTACATTGAGTTTGTAAACAAGCGAACTAAAAAAAAAAATGTACACACATTAGTTCTGATTTTGGTGTTTAGTTTGTTTTAAGTCCTGTCCCGACAAATTTAGTTATTTCTTTATTTTGAATACAAAAATAATATTCAAGGATAAAAACACAATAAAGTACCCATTAGGCCTATATAATATATAATATACATTATAATATATAATAATATATGAGCATACAACAGTTATTTTTTTTAATATAACCCAATACAGTACCGCCACGAAATATTGCAATTTTACCTGCGCGCAGGCTTCTTAGATACATCGTAGCCTGATATAAACAATCTAAGCAAGGCTACGCGAAGCGAACCTACGAAGCAAAAGCATGTTGTTTATTTGTATGTGCAGAAAGACTGCTGTAGCTTACTGGAATAAACAATGTATTGCTTGATAATTTGTGAATGACAAGCACGAGCTTAGACCGTTAATTTAAAGTATGGAGCTGTTTTTCAATAAGAAAAACGTACACTTGACTTCATGGGAGTCTCCTTTTCCACTCGCTGTCCACGACAGGAACTTGTTTGTACTGCTGTATTATTTTTTTAATTAATTACCCTAGGCCTAGCTTATTTTTTATTTACAATTATTTTACCTCTTTTAAATGTCAAAAAATTATGTACTCAATGACTATACACACATGTCAAAAGATTGTTTATCAAATAATATTTTGTAGTCTTGATTTAGTAAGATAAATAATAATATAAAGGAGAATTAACATCCGTTGGTTGTAAAATTACCAAATGTCACATGGAAAAACCAATGGAAAATAAAACTTAGCCAGCATCAGAAGTCAGAGTGCACGCCAATCACACAGTAAAGTGTGTTAAAGGTTAACCTCGTGGCAAATGTTGAAAAGCTGTGAGCGACTGTGAGTAAATAACGAAGTAAATGCGGTCTAGCCTGACTAGCCTTAATTTGGCAAGGTAGTGATTTCTATACTTCATTTAGTATTGGATCGCTTTGCAGGTTCTACTTCAAATTACGGTAAACAATAAATCGGGATGGCCTTCTGCATTCCCGCAACCGGAGCAGAATCTCCCAGAATATATAACCCATCTCCCGCTAATTCATTAAATCTGCATATTTTTACTAATCTGTGTTGCCCCTTTTCATTGTCTCATAGAAGTCAGTGTCAATTGGTATACCCCATAAGCAGTAAAACAAAAAAGAAAGCTTGTTTAAACAGATCTTCTGGAAATTAGGTCTATTTTTTTTTTAAATTGGGACCCCTGTTAACATGACAACTTGTGCAGATAAAGCTATTATACTGTGGCAGGGCCAGCCTGCACTAATACTACGGCCCAGGGACCTTCGCTTCAACAACAACCGTCACAATTATTTTGATCCTCAGGTTTATTTTTATTTATTTGTTCTTTATACAGATTACTGTTCTCCCAGAGGGCCCAATTCACATAAAACAGTCCATAACAGGGGCCGGGTGAACCAGTTCACCGGGGTAATGCCCTACTCATCTCGAAGGATGTACTGGGTTCTTTAAAGTGCACATTAGCATTTGTGTACACTGGGCCTACGGTTTATAGTCCTTATCCGAGAAGACTTGTTCCACCACCAGAACCATAGGAGCAAGCCAGCCGCGAACCTGTGCCGATACAGTTTGCTATGATCACATGCCCCTTCCTTAACCGCTCGGCCATTTGGCTCGCTCATAAATAAAAACTAACTTTTGCAGTTTGCAAATTCTATCATTGTATAAATAAAACATTGCTTGCTTAGGAGCTATGGTCTCTTCAAGGATTTGTTGATTTTGAAAACGTCTCTTCCCAAAAATTAGAATAGCATAATAATAATAAATAGCACGTCCAAAACAGTTGCATATTATTGCTAGACCTATCTAAAACACATTTGTTGCATAATGAAGATATTAAGTGAACTTTTATGAGTTCATGTTAAAAATATTATAGGTATTTCAAAAAGGACCAGGAAACATTGTTATTTGTTTACGCTTGGCCAAATTTAATTGAATTACTTCAATGAAGCATTTTAACCTGAGCAATTTTAAGTAAATAGTGTAGGCCTTCGCACATTGTATATCCCATTCTTTAGGTGTAACAATTGGATTATTGTTCATGTGAACACCTATAAAATATGTATTGTAAATCATTGACTGAAGGTCCCAACAAAAATGTTAATGTCACACCCACATGTTGTTCAGAGAGTTCGTAGAAAATGTCTTATCATGATTCTAGGCATTGTCAGTCTGAAAGTAATAGGCTACTCCACATGTTTCCGACATGTACCATATAAAGATGATTGTTGTTATTAATTTATAAATGCTTGCAGTAACACGGCACACAGTACGTAAAGTATTTTTACCTTAAAAAAATATACTGTTAATGTTGTTGTTGCTGACTGTAATTACTTTTATTGTTGTTCTTATCCCTTTATAACATGGCAATTGAAAGAATTAAAGAAATTAGAAAAAATCCCCTAAAATCTGAAAAATGAGGGGCAGGTTTTTTGGTTTTTTTTCTTAAAAGTTTTTTTTAAAGTTAAAATAAAATCATTTTTTTTTTACGGCACGATTTTGGAGTCATACGACCGCCAGTTACATAGCACGCCCACTACGACCGTTTCACGCTTGGTTGACTACAAACTTTCCTCCCCTCGTGGTTTGTACTACTATATCAAGGTGATACAATGTTGCTTGTTGCGATTTGTACCTTTTTTAACACATTAAATCAGTAAATGAAGCTTGTGAGCTTGAACTGATACATAGTGCAGTAGTTTATTTTAATCACATGTCTTACACCAATTAAAGATCTTTCTTCCAATCCGAAACCACAAAGAAATTAGCCCCAAATTGCAAGGAGACCAATAGTGTACGTTTTCAGTTTCTATTATTGTGAAATGACATACAATTTAATTTTAAAGTACTGTAGGCCCAATTACTCAAATAAAGAACTGTGATTCTTTGACTAAAAAAGTATAGAATTGTCACTCAACAGTTGGTTATCACAGATTCAAATAAATAATATTGTGTACAAATTTAGAATTGACTAATTTTTAATGGATGTAACATAATAAATGAACTCTATATGACCTGTACATATTGAAGCATTTAATGGTTTATTATGTTTTTTTCAATTACTATAGAATTTTTTTACATATCTTAGTAAATTATTACTCTGGATTAACATATTAAATTGTTTCTTTTCTAGACTAGAGGGAATGTAATTTGAACAGTTTGATATTAATGTTATGATTTGTAGATCATAATCATATTAATCCTATAATATAGATTATAAAGT